GATTTAACGTTCCCTTTCCTCTCTGCTTTCCCAATTAGAAAATTTGGGTGGTTGATTTTAAATCTTTCTTTTTCCCTGACACCTGCATCCAGTGGTGTCCCTGTCCCTCCACGCTTTGTGACTGTACCCACACTCAGCACACGGCATGTTCATTTGCATTTAGTTCAAAACAATTCTAAATTTTTCTTGAGACTTCTTTGATCCTTGTGTTATATAGAAGTTCATTATTTAATCTCTAAATACTTTTGGATCTTGTAGCTACTTTCCTGCTATGATTTCTGGCTTAATTCTGTTGTGGCATATTTTTATGATTTCTATTCTTTTAAGTTTGTTGAGTTTTGTGGCCTATCTGGTAAATATTCCATGTGCTCTTGAGAACATTATCTGTTGTTTTTGTTTTGTACTGGGGACTGAACCAATGACCTTTTCGCAGAGCTACATTCTCACTCCTTTTTGTAAAATTTTAAAAAACGTTTTGAAACAGGGCTTCACAGAGTTCCTGAGTTCTCCCAGCTGGGCTCAGACTTGCCATCTTCCTGTCTCAGTCTCCCAGGGTTCTCAGGTTACAGGTATGCACCACCATGCGCAACTTGGATGAAGTATTCTATAAATGTCATTGGATCCATCTGCCACTGATGTGCTGTTCAATTCAGCCATATTTTTACTGAGTTTGTGCCCACTGATGTGTCAGGTACTGGAGGAGCAGTGTGGGAGTCTCCACTGTAATAGGTGTGTCCATTTTCCTTGCCTTTTTGTCATTTTCTGCTTGCTATATTTTGAAACTCAGTTGTTTGGTGTATGCATCTTAAGTATTACATTTTCTGGAAAACTTCCATCATTATGCAAAGCCTTCTTTCTTGATAATTATTCTTGTTTTGGTGTTTGTTTTGTCTGAAAACAGTTTTACTTTTGATTAGTGATAACGTGGTATATCTTTCTCTGTCCTTTTGTATTTATTTATATATTTATTTATTTATGGTACTGGGGATCGAACTTGGGACCTTGAGTTTTCGAGGCAGGCAGTGGAACCACTGAGCTAAATCCTTGGCCCTGTCCTTCTAATTTTAATCTGTTTCTGTATGTTTCAGGTGGAGTTCTTGTAGAAAGATACAGTTAGGGAAGGTCTTGGCTTTTTAAAAACCCATTCTGATGATTTCTCTAACAATATATGCATTTTCCCACCTTGATTATGTCCCACTGTTCGCACCGTCCACAGCCAAGGCACAGTCGTCAAAATCGAGAAATCAATGCTGGTGCATTACCATGAATGTACCAGCTCATCCAGATATCCCGTTTTCCCTCTTATGTCTCTTTTTTTTTCCAGAGTCCACATCTGCACCGGAGAGTATGTGAATCAATGTCTCCTACAACCACATTTAGCCCTGGCTTTATGCAGTGGGGAGAGCAGCTGTGGGAGGAGAATCTTGTCCAGGCTCATTGGCCACACTTGCACCGCGCCACAGAGAGCCAGGTGGTCCCGCTGCCGAAGTTTCCGAACCCTTTACACAGCCAGCTTTTCACAGCGCCCAGCGTTACAGGCAGGAAGAGCGCTCAGGCTGTGACCTGGAGGTGGAAGGACGGTAGCTGGGGCTTCACAGGGGCTGGAAGCCTTCCTTTGACGATAGTGAGAGAAGCCTTTGCTGATAAATCAAATCCCGGATAATCCTGGCTGGTGAAGGCCGATCCGGGTGCCGAAATGACTGCGAAGGTAGCCCAGGCAGAGATGCTCACAGGCCACCTCTCTGGCCTCACGTGGGAGGTTTCTGCGCTCCAGGCGCCTGAGTAGATTCAACATCTGCCCGCGCAAGGTTCTTTGCTCGCGTCTATCACCCACGCAGTCCACGTAGCGGAAACGCTCCCCAACTCCTCCAAAGGCTCCCACTTTGCCGCCTGTGGCCCGGGCCCCACCCGGCCAGGCGGTTGAGGAACTGAGCTTCGTGTGTGGCGCGGGGATCCTTGACCTCTCGGCAGCTAGGGTTGTCGTGGGGGCTGTGGGGGCATTTTGGGCCTCTAGTGCCACCCCGCGAGGGTCAGGTGCCCCATCCGGCACCCTGGTGTCTTAGGGTCCCTGACTGCCTACTGGAGTCTGCAGGATCAGAGAACCCTGAGCCCCCGGAAGCTGGGGCAGGGGACCCCCCCACCTAGGCGGGACCCTGTCTGGGCCACTTCAGAGCCCTTAACCGCTTAACCGGGGCGTGGCGGTGCATGCCTATAATCCCGAAAAGGAGAGGCTGAGGTAGGAGGATCTCGAGTCCCAGGCCAGCCTGGACTATATAGTCAAACTCTGTCTCAAAAACCAAATCAAACTAAACCGAAACACCCGACCATGCTGCCGACTCCGAGGAAAACTTTGAGCCTCAGGCAGGTTCTGTATCTCCGCTGCCTCTCTTAAGTCCAGAGGAAAATTGAGGAGGGGTCCCTGAGCTGTCCGTGTCACGTTCGCCCGCCGGAGATTCCCTATCTCTCCACTGTGGGGGCCGCGTGGACTTGCTGTGCTGATAACCGAGGAGGATATGCATCCCGTGCTCCAAAACCGCTGAAGGATGGAAAGGGGGTGGCAAGGCCAAGTCAGGAGGGACCCCACGTGCCTGAGAGCCAATTACAAAGCAAGGTTAGGCTCATTAATCCCACTGAGGGATGTTCGAAGGAAAGGGTAACCTGAGAAGTAGTGTACCCCCACCCGTCCAGGGCTGCTGGTGGCACGAGACAGGCAGGAATTAAAGCTGGGCTGGGGTATGTCCCAGCATCGCGCCTTCCGCGAACCTCGCGCCCTGTGCCACAGTCTAGCGCCGGTCTGCAGTTCCCATCACTCCCCCAGCTTCGAGTCCGGGTCTGATTCCCCGTCCGGGTCCAGATCCAGGTCGAATTCGGCGGCGGGCGGGTGGTAGGGGGCGGAGGAGCCGTCGGGACGCGGGCGGGCGGAGACTGGGGCACAG